CTGAACTGATGGAAGAGATGCTGTCCTGTCTTGGCTCTGCTGCAAAATTTCAGATCTAAAGTTCCTCTGTCCCGAAGTTTCTGGTTTCAACATCCCAAAATGCAGAAGGCCGTTTAAGAAGTGACCATTCTGCCCCAGTGCTTGGGATTGTTTCAAGTGCCTGGTGTCAGATGATCGGTCTTGTGCATTTGATCTGGAACCTTGTGTAATTAGCCCCTGAAAACAAGAAAAAGCAAACTCTAGTTCCTTTTTGAGTGGACAAGGAAGCTTTCCATACAATTTCACATACCCACCAGGGTGCAAAAGTAATTAGCTACAGAAACCTCTCCAGCATGAACACTGAGCGTGAAAGCAGCATGAACCTCAGAGATGTGTCAGCTGGATCTGGAAATCACAAAGAACTGTGTTACAGATCAGATGCTGCATATTTTATGTAAAATGTGAGCAAGAGAAAACCTCTTGACATGAGCAGGAATCACATCAGGCTCAGCTGGAGGAATCCATACCATGGCCATAGCACATCTACTGGAAAATATTGGGTGTTCCAGACCATTGTCTGAATCATTGCTGTCATCAAAAGCAGGACAGGAAAGGTTACACTTTGAGAAACATGGTTTGTTTTTTTAAAAGATGATCTAGGAGCAGGCAGTAAAATACTGTAATAAACCACAAGCAAGGCAGCCCCGAAAACTGTTGTGATTTAAAAAGCTGGGGGTTCATAAAGGAGTACTGTCACAAAGATCTAAGTGGTCACGAGTAACAGAGAGAGAAAAAATAAGAATCAACTCTGCTTGCTCTGGCAGCTCCAGAAGCAGCAATCCACAAATCAAACAGAAATCTGCAAATGAAACTAGCAGGAGACCAAAAGAGGAGAAGCAGCTCTTCCTGCAACAATTTTCTTAGGAGTCAGCCTGTGTCCATTGCTGCCCCCAGCAGAAAGGGCATCCTGAACACCAGAGGGGCTGGAACACAAATTCCATGGAGAATGAAGTGAGAGCAGCCCAGAGCTGTTCAGAGCAAATCTTTAGAAGCTGACTGGAGCTTGCTGAAACAACACTAAGCTCACCTGCCTTTTTGTTTGATAAGGGATTTATCATCCCTTCAATGATAATGAAATAGTATCTGATACTGGAACTGCATTTACAGATGAAAACAAAAAAATCTTAAAATTCTTAAAGACCTAGCAAATCAAATTTATATAAAGCACAAGGGAAGAGCAGGGGCAAACACTGATCTTTCCTTTCTGGTGACCAGAGGCAAGACTCAGGGGAATGGAGCTGGGCCAGGGTAGGGTCAGGCTGGAGATCAGTGAAAGGTCCTTCCCTCAGAGGGTGTCAAGCACTGAAGAGGCTCCCCAGAGAGTGGTCACAGCCCCAAGAGTGGCCAGAGCTCCAAGAGTGTTTGGATGACACTCTCAGGCAGAGGGTGGGATTTTTGAGTTGGACTCTATGATCCTGATGGGTCCCTCCTAAATCAGGAGATTCTATAATTGTGTAATTAAGAAATCAATTTGCTTATCCTATTGTGACAAGATGAAGTCTAAGGATAGAACCATTCCTCTCAAAGAATTTCTATCCACTCATCTGAAAGTATTTTGCTAAATATTAAAGGGCCAGTGGTATTGCCTTCTCTGCAATACATCCCTATCTGTAAGGTTTATGAAAACAGCAGTGTTTGAAGTCAGATTTATTTGTTTAAAAGCATTGCACGTTACCTGAGCTGTTGTAGAGTTCAGAGTCCTGCTGCTCACCTTACAGTACCTTCCAGGAGTACCCTGATAAGCCTCACTGTTACCCATTAAGAGTGTTACCCACAAGCCTATTAATTATGTGACTTTCTCTCTGTTGTGCCAAGGTTCCTGAGTGGTGTAGGACATGTAACAGATGATGGGTCATGTACACTTGGAATCTGAAAATGCCAGGGAAGAAAAGTTACCACCCAGACAGGGCCAGCATGGTGGCAGCAACAGCTAAGGTAGAGCTTTCCCACAAAAGTTTGTACCTTTTCCAAAGATTGTGTGATTATTTCTGATGGTTTTGACAGGAAAGCAAATGAATAATAAAAAGTTATCTGCAGTGCCCACATACCTGAACTTACCTTTAGCTGATCAGGCAGGCTGAGGTACTGTATTATCTTTTCTGTTCCACTTTGGATCATGAACAGAAACTCTGCTGTGAGCAGTCACTAAAATCACTTTAGCCTTTTGTGCTTGTAAGTAAACCAAATTTTCCAGTATTCTAAAAAATTGAAGATCCACAGCAAATTCCAGAATTACAAAGCACCACAGGAAAGAAACCTGGAATCAATCTCTGCTTTAGACCCATACAGCAGCACTGTACTTGACCATACCCTACAAAGGAATCCCAAAAGCACAGAAAGGATCCTCCCTGTCCCCAAAACATCAAGTGACAAATGCTCACAGGTACACCACACTGGTTAAAAAAGACCTTGGAGATCAAGTCCAGCTGTAATCCATGACCACCAAATCCACCACTACCACATCCATCAGTGCCACACCTGCACATCTTTTAACCTCCTGGAATGGTGATTTCTCCACTGCCCTGGGCAGCCTCTACCAATGCTTAATAACCCTTTTTTTTACCAATATCCAATCTAAACCTCCCCTGGCACAACTCGACACCAGCTTCTCTCTTCCTGTCCCTTGGGAGCAGAGCCTGACCCCCACCTACCTCCAGTCAGGGAGTTGCAGAGTGCTGAGGTCTCCCCTGAGCCTCTTTTTTTCCAGGCTTAGCATTCCCAGCTCCTTCAGCTGCTCCTCATAGGCCTTCTGCTTGCAACAGGAAATGAAGAAGTTCAGGGTTAATGTGTGGACACCCTCAGAGTTCATCCCTGGAGGACATGAGGGTATTCTGAAGTTCTGTTTGAATCCCAAAAAATGCACATTAGCTTGGTTTACAGGCTCTCCCATGCCTGGGGAGCATCACATTGAGCTACCAAAACCCACAGGAGTTCCACATCCCTGTTTATGTTTTTAGGGAAGGAGCATGGGATCTGAAAGAACAAGTACTTCATATTTCAGTTCAGTATCAGACAGAATTGCCAGCAGACTAAGCAGGGCATCAAAATAGTATTTATTGACCTGATTGAACCACATCCTACCATTATCTGCACCATGCCAGGAAGAAACTTCAGTATCTCAATAGAATTGTGTTGTTATACAAAGATAAGCACATACTATCTCAATTGTATTCAAAAATATCTATTGGTTTCAACAGAAATATTTACAAGTGACACTTTTTTCTTGAAAAAGCTGATTTAAGCCAGAAAAAAACTTACAAATAGTAAAGGGAGAATCTACTAAATGAATTGAAAGTCACAATATTTGTCATTGACTGCAAAAGAATCAAAGTTACATTTTTTGTTTTATTTTTAGGGATAGCCAAGGATCCAAAAATAGTGGCTTGAGTCTAAACACATAAATCTTGTGAAAGAATTAATCTGCTCCTGCAATAACAACAGCTGCCCCATTTCCAAACTAATCCAGTTTAAAAAACTGTTCTAATAAGGTCTGTACAATTTTTAGTTACGTATGTAGTCATTTATCTATGAGCTACAGTGTTTGCTGGTTTATTTAGAATTTATTTCTAGAATAGAAAAGAGAAAATGCATTTTACAATGGCACAATCTCAAGTTCTCAAATTTCTTTTACACAAATAGATTTCTGTCAGTTCTTAGAAAGTGCCTGTTTATTTCTCCTACTTTGCTTCATGATATAGCCCAAAATTCAGAAAAGGCAGAAAAGTTTATTCTAATAAAACAAGAGAACTGATGATTTTGGCCCCGTGTCAGTAAAAAAGAGATCTGAATGCAGGAAATTACCTCAAAATTTAATTTAAAAGAAAAAAGTCTATAGAGTTAAAAAAAAAAAGAAAAGCAATCCAAGAAGCCATTCTATCAAATCCCCATCATCAAAAACTCAATGTTTGCAAAAGGAGTCAGTCATGCTCTGCCAAGCATAGGAAGCCACTTCATGTCCAGATCGTGTTCTCATGAGGACAGGGGCAGCTCCCCAGCAGCACAAGGATGACATCTAGTGACGGCCATATCCACCTGTTCCCAACTCCAGCCTTCCTAAAAACACCAGCCCAGGCTGCCATGCTCACCTGGAGTGAGAGAGGTTAGGGTGGTACCTTTGTTTAAATGTCTGTATTAAAAAGATGCACATGTATCAGGTATCTTCAAATGCTACCCTTTCATTAACTGAATTAAAAAAACAAACAAACAAACAAAAAAACCAAACATGAAGAAAACATGAAAAAATCTGTAATTGTATGATATATCATCTATGCAAAAATTTGTTTCAACCTTCAATACCAGAGATAAAAAGATCCTCTTGCTATATTAGTGCTATGTTGTTCTAATGCAACCTCTAAAGTGCCACATTCTTGAGTAATTTGCTGTAACTGGGATACAATCCTTGCAAAAGTTGTTCCCAAAAGATCATCCTGCATAGCATTTACTTACACAGCTATAGTACAGAGAGATTTTTAAAAGTCACACACTCAAGAAATACAAAATTCTCTCAATCTCTCCAAAACCAGAAAAGATGCTCTAGAATTTTAACATTTTTTTCACCAACAGGGTGAGTGCAAGCTTCACCCTGGAGCCAAGACTATCCATTCAAACTTCTCTAGTTAGTCAAGACCCTGGGACAAGACCAAAGTGCTTTATTACAAATAGAGCATTTTTTTCTCTGTCTCTATGCACTGCCTCTCTAATCATACATTACAAATAACATAAAACAATAATTAAGAGTTTTTGTTGCTTTTTTCTTATGCCCTTCTCGTGTTTGTGTACTGGGAAAATGAGTGTTTTTCTCAAAACATTCTCTTTTATTTATTAGGGTGATCCAACCCCCCAGTCCTTGCTCCCAGAACCATAGGCTTCATTTTCACCTTTGACTGCAAAAACTGCACTGCTGAGAAGTGCAAGGAATCACAAACTGCATCATTTGAGAATTACAATACCTTATTTTACAACTGTAGTGTGTGCAAATAATTATTTCAATTAAATTTAATAGTTACAAATATTCTCAAACCATGTAAGTACAGTAGGTTCTACAGAAAGTAACATGGATAACCAATATTCTGCAACTTGAAACAAAAATAATAAATAAAAGTTTGAAGTATTAAAACTAAGAAAAAGTAATCCTGTACATTGTACAGTACCTTTTGGTTAAAGCTTCTTAGCAAAAATATACTTATGTGTTCTAAGCATTCCAGTTACAGATGTTTCAATATTAAAATTTCAAGATTTCCTCATCACGAAAAAATATTGCATTTGTCCACAGGTGCAGCAGAAGATGTCTCTCACTCTGAACAAGGCTTCAGTCTTTAAAAATCCAGAGACAGCAAGTCTGAATTCAAAGGAACCATTACAAAACTCCAGTACAGTACTGAGGATGTAGGGTTGTTGTGCATGAGGGGTTTTTGACATTCCTTACTCCCAGAAGCAGCTCTAGAGGGCCCACTGGATATCACTGAGGTCAGCTGGGTCTCCCAGCCCTCCGTCAGCCTCCAGGTAATTCATCAGAGCTGTCATTGCAGTGTCATCGTTCTCACAGATGGCATCGAAGTCCAGCTGAGAATTGCCACCTACACAGTGATTAAAACAGGGCGTTTGAAGCAGTATGGACACTATGAGGCATGGAGAACATGGCAACTTGCAAAACAGAATTGGTTTGAAGCAGTACCTGCCTTTGAAGTCAAGGCAAATATTTCTGTTAAAAAAAAACCTAACATGACTCCCTTTTGCTTTAAAACCATTACTCCTGTGTCATTGGGGTTGTTTCTAATTATTTTTTCCCAAACCCTTATTAGAGGATTAACATTTTTTCCTTTGTGTTTCTTTTTCAGTGTTTTTTTTTTTTAGTTGGTTGGTTGGTTTGGGGTTGTCAGAGTTTGGGTTTTTAAATTTTTTTTTGAAAAGGCTCATAGTTAACTCAAAGAAAGCTGTAGGTTCTAAATAAATCCCTGGTAAATGAGGGAGAAGGAGATGGAAAAGTTTCTAAGAGCTAAAATACAAGATCAGCATAAACATGGCTTTTACAGCATTTTGCCTTTTATGTTAAACATAATGCGGTGGCATTTTCCTCAAATAAGAATCCTGTATCCAGACAAACTTAACAAGGGAAAGACAAAAAAAATGCTTTCTAAATAATTTTGATCAGTCCTTTGTGTCAACTACTCCCAGCTTGCAGCTAAGAAAGAGGTAAGGTGCTAAAGGACAATAATTCATAAATTCCAAGAAATTCCCTGACATTACATTGAAATACTTTTCCCTTTCCATTTCTGTCCTGGAGAGAGAACAGTAAAGTGCCTCATGAAAAGTGTAAGAATGTAATGGTAAACTTTAGTTACAGATGTTGTTTTTTGTCATGAGATTGCCTCACTGATCAAATTTTTCTCTTTGCCTTGCAGCAATAACACATCTGTTTTCAGAGTGCTCTCATCTTCAGACAGTCAGTCAGCCAGCCAGCCAAATCTCTTTACAATTTATATATGGTTGTAAAGTGGTGCACTCAGAAATTACACCATTGATCAGAAATGTCAGCCCCTGTAACTCCCAGAATACCCAAGAGAAATAGATCTTACTGAGGAGAGGTTCATTACTGGGAAATGGAATAGCACCCTGGGTTTGTTCTGAATTCTCTAGGACTTCTGTTTCTGAAGGACATAACTGAACCAACTCTTTATTTGGCACCTGAAAGAGCAGAATTGGTAGAAAGGACAGAATTAGATCCTAAATTTAGTCACAAATATTACACTACAGAAACATCATAGATTGCTGTCAAATTATTAAGAACTAAATAGAGAAAGTGAAAAATCCATCAGGCAGATATTTTGCATTTAGAAACAATTTTTTTAGAAGTTCATATAGCACTGCACCTAGCTTAAATAAAATCTGTAAGTTACACAGCTGTCAAAGATACTTCACAGTGATGGCACTGCATGAGGGTCTAACTCTGTGTTCAGTAAATAAAGCCAGCACCAAATGCACTGGTTTGCACTTCCCACATCTACTACCATAAACTACAAATTCCGGTGTCCTCATGTTTGCCACTGTCAAAACATTCCAGTCAAGAGATTAAAAAAGCCCTCATGCCTCCTAGGTTCTATATGCATTAAACTATATTGAGCATAGCAATAGGGATGGAAGTCATTCTAACCCCAAAAAACAGATAATTTTTTTCCTGATATTGGTTTCATTTAACACATACATGTAACTTAGCTGGAGAAATTCCTAGGATTGCCTGACTTGTGTATAGTCTACCAGGAAATTAATAAAGGCAAAATGCTTTCCAAAAGTTTTAGGAACAAATGGGATACCAAAGCCCAGAATCAAGAAAAAACTTCAATGAATATGATGAAATTATCCTTATGATGAGACATTACATGATTTAGAGAGTTCAGCATATAAAAATCAAACAACTTTAAGGAGAAAAATCTGTGGTAACACAGGGGAAAACAGATCATAAAAAAGGGGGAAGTCAAAGCAGTTCCTAGACCAGAATAGTGGGGGTTTTTTATAGGAAATGAGAATTGCAGTGAAAAGAAATGAAAATTGCAGTGAAAACATAAACTGTTTTTAACAGGAAAGAAATTTGCATTCAAAGAAGAGTTGTTTGAGAAGTTTGTTCATGCAGTATAGTTTGTGGTGCAACAAGCACTAGTAGATTTACAAGCACCACTACGTTAGCATAACTATCCATTTTTAGAAGAATAAATGAAATACCTTCAAAGTCACAATTTTAAACATTTCAAAACAGCACAGATTTTTTTAAAAGTCTCTTCAAAAACACTGATTAAAAGTACACATTCTCTCACGAAAACAAATCAGGGCAATCTGGCTCAAACACAGGTTTTGAGCTGCCACCGACCTCTTAATTTTGGATTTTTACAGGCAGGGGTGTACTCACATCGCTGCAGTTTATAGTTAAAGCTGGAGAAGGTGACTTTCTGAGGAGATGTGACGGACTTAACTCTCCAGAGGGTGAGGAATGCAACCTAAAATTGCATATGTTTACCAGGTCACATTATTCAAACACTGAAAAACAGACTGTGTGGTGCAGAACCCACCAGACCTCCCCAGTGACAAAGCATGAGTCTGATAATTGGAAATAATAATGTCTCCAATTCTCCTGAAGATTCTAAATTATCCTGCTCCATGGTTTGGTAGCAGAAAATAGAAGAGAGATCAGAAAAGGCCATGGGCCACAATTCCTTGAGCACACTTTTCTCTCTCTGTTGAATCACCAGCAGAGTGATGTGCACTGCCAGGCATAAAACTGACATTAATTATAATGGTATCTCATAATGTTATTGTTCAACCTAAAAAATGTTATACATATAATACAATAAAAGTGAACCTGGAGCAACCCTCACATAATCATACATCCCTTGTCCCTATCTTTACTTAACAGCATAATGATGATGTTCTGCATTTATTACCTTTGTAATTCTAATATTTCATTTGCAATTTCAGTTCCTATACTGCCAGCACCAAGAATTGTTCCAGAGGACATTCCAGGCACACTTACTAAAGACTGTTTTACAGCATCTGGAGATAAAAAAAACAAAGCCCAGACAAAACCTTAAACCCAGAGCAGTTTCAGTGCAGAGCAAGAATTCATTTTAAAGCAGCTTTTGTTCAAGATATATATATACATATATATACACACTATATAAGTATATATTTTTATATATGTATTCAGAAATTATTTTTCTTTAGATATTGATTCATGGCACAGGGTGTTGCAATATAAAGTGAATAATCAGTTTGTGAAAATTGTTTTTCTCCCGTAGTGAAATATATTTAATCATTACCACCTCCAGTGTCTCTCACAGACATTGCAAAGAACATGAGTTTAAAAAAAACTCTTGGATTTCTCACCAACTGAAATGAGTTACTGAAAGAACACTTTGAAAAGCAAATATAAAGCCTTGACAGCAAGATGATAGAACAGCATGCAGAAAGCAGAATCTACACATAGCAGAAAAATAATAGCAAAATATGTTCTGTATCAGTATTGCCCTGTATTTTATAGATAAACTCAGCACAATTGTATCTGTTCAGAAAACTGGGCAAAATATGAAAGGTCTGTGACAGAACCACAATATCCTACCAACCAAACCCCCATCTCTAACAGAAGCTGCTGGAAACTAAAAGCAGGTTATATATGCTTCTTTTTAGAATTCTGTGAATTATATCAATTAGGATACT